CCTCTTCTCTCTTCTCCCCTCTTCTCTTCTCTCTTCTCTTCTCCCCTCTCTCTCCTCTCTTCTCCCCTCTTCTCTCTCTCTCTCTCTCCCCTCTCCTCTTCTCTCCTCTCTTCTCCCCTCTCCTCTTCTCTCTTCTCCTCTCTCTCTCTCTTCTCCTCTCTTCTCCCCTCTTTTCTCCTCTTCTCTCTTCTTTTCCCTCCCCTCTCCTCTCCTCTCCACTCTTTTCTCCTCTCCTCTCCTTACCTCTCCCCTCTTTTGTTCACTCCTCTCCTTCTTCTCCCTCTCCTCTCTTCTCCCCTCTCCTCTTCTTTCTTCTCTTCTCCCCTCTTCTACTCTCCTATCTTCTCTCCTCTTCTCTCCTCTCCTCTCCCTCTCCTCTCCTCTCTTCTCCCCTCTCCTCTTCTTTCTTCTCTTCTCCCCTCTTCTCTTCTCTCCTCTCTTTTCCCATCTTCTCTTCTCTCCTCTCTTCTCTTCTCCCCTCTCCTCTTCTCTCTTCTCCTTTTCTCTTCTCCTTCTCCTCTCCTCTCCCTCCCCTCTTTTCTCCTCTCCTCTCCTCTTTTCTTCTGACCTCATTCGGTTCTTTCCTCTATAACTCCTCTCCTGAAATACTCTGCACTGCTGACGGACTCCGCTCCTTCCTCTATAACACTCCTCTCCCTAAATTCTCTGCACTGCTGGAGGACTCCGCTCCTTCCTCTATAACTCTCCTCTCCTGAAATACTCTGCACTGCTGGAGGACTCCGCTCCTTCCTCTATAACTCCTCTCCTGAAATACTCTGCACTGCTGGAGGACTCCTCTCCTTCCTCTATAACTCCTCTCCTGAAATACTCTGCACTGCTGGAGGACTCCGCTCCTTCCTCTATAACTCTCCTCTCCTGAAATACTCTGCACTGCTGGAGGACTGCGCTCTCCTTCCTCTATAACTCTCCTCTCCTGAAATACTCTGATCTGCTGGAGGACTCCTCTCCTTCCTCTATAAGTCTCCTCTCCTGAAATACTCTGCGCTGCTGGAGGACTTCGCTCCTTCCTCTATAACTCTCCTCTCCTGAAATACTCTGCACTGCTGGAGGACTCCTCTCCTTCCTCTATAACTCTCCTCTCCTGAAATACTCTGCACTGCTGGAGGACTCCTCTCCTTCCTCTATAACTCTCCTCTCCTGAAATACTCTGCTCTGCTGGAGGACTCCTCTCCTTCCTCTATAACTCTCCTCTCCTGAAATACTCTGCTCTGCTGGAGGACTCCTCTCCTTCCTCTATAACTCCTCTCCTGAAATACTCTGCGCTGCCGGAGGATTCCGCTCCTTCCTCTATAACTCTCCTCTCCTGAAATACTCTGCACTGCTGGAGGACTCCGCTCCTTCCTCTATAACTCTCCTCTCCTGAAATACTCTGCACTGCCAGAGGACTCCGCTCCTTCCTCTATAACTCTCCTCTCCTGAAATACTCTGCACTGCTGGAGGATTCCGCTCCTTCCTCTATAACTCTCCTCTCCTGAAATACTCTGCACTGCTGGAGGACTCCTCTCCTTCCTCTATAACTCCTCTCCTGAAATACTCTGCGCTGCTGGAGGACTCCGCTCCTTCCTCTATAACTCCTCTCCTGAAATACTCTGCACTGCTGGAGGACTCCTCTCCTTCCTCTATAACTCTCCTCTCCTGAAATACTCTGCTCTGCTGGAGGACTCCGCTCCTTCCTCTATAACTCCTCTCCTGAAATACTCTGCACTGCTGGAGGACTCCTCTCCTTCCTCTATAACTCTCCTCTCCTGAAATACTCTGCTCTGCTGGAGGACTCCGCTCCTTCCTCTATAACTCCTCTCCTGAAATACTCTGCACTGCTGGAGGACTCCGCTCCTTCCTCTATAACTCCTCTCCTGAAATACTCTGCTCTGCTGGAGGACTCCGCTCCTTCCTCTATAACTCTCCTCTCCTAAAATACTCTGCACTGCTGGAGGACTCCGCTCCTTCCTCTATAACTCTCCTCTCCTGAAATACTCTGCACTGCTGGAGGACTCCTCTCCTTCCTCTCTCTTCTGGAGCCCCCTGTGTCCTGCGTCCTCCTCTCCCGTCCTCTACATGCGGTCAGACAATGTCACATTCTTGCCTGGCCTCATCCTCTATACATTTATTGTACACATTTGATCCTCGGAGTGCTGTCCCCCCTGTGATATTCGATCCCTCAGGACATTCCAGCAATGGGCCCTCTAGAGGGGCCCCCAGAAGCCCCCGGGGGTCTCCCATAAACCTGCTATTATCAGAAGGGATTTAAATCAGACAGCCGGGGAGGAAGGAAATTCTGCTTTGAAGTTTTAGCCTCTCATGTGAGATGCCCGGAGTGCCGCGTGCCTAGGATGGTCTGTTGGTGGCGTCATTGCGCCCCGAGCAACGTGCGTCCTTCACACGGCCAATGAAATCTCAGAGTTCAAGAATATTGGAAACAACGCAGAAAATAATTGTCACATTCAACCTTCGTGATTAACCTGCAGTGGAAAATCAGCCGCTTGGACATCTTCTATGTGACCCTCTGACTTTTAACCTTCGATTTTGGAATGTTTGGACTTTTCTGAATGAAAAACAAGTTTCGAAAAAAATTTCCATCTCGCTCGAATTTTCGTACTATTGAAGTTCAAAACAAATGAAAATCAAATGAAAGATCTTATAATGAAAAATTTGAACTAAATTCTACTAGTTTGTGGCCAGCTGAAATCTTCATTTTGGGATTGGTGGATTCGTGTTTTCATGCTATCACTCACTGTTACTGGTGTCACCTCCCAGGGTGTACATTCACCTGCACATTGATGAGGACTTGGTTCAGGCAGAGCAGCTTTAGTAAGAAACTCGCTGATCATGATGTTATCTCTCACACAGAGACAGACTGACCATTCAGGCACTGCCCGAGGGCCCGGGGTCAGTAGGGGCCCCATGAGATGCCCCTGGTACCTTTCATAGGCTTTTTTTGGGTGTTGTTTGAGTGTGGGCGAGGACACCGGGGCCCCATGATCCCTTATTGCCCGGGGGCCCCATGAGTTGTCAGTCCGCCCCTGCTGATCATGATGTTATCTTTCACACACAGAGACAGACTGACCATTCAGGCACTGCCCGAGGGCCCGGGGTCAGTAGGGCCCCATGAGATGCCCCTGGTACCTTTCATAGGCTTTTTTGGGTGTTGTTTGAGTGTGGGCGAGGACACCGGGGCCCCATGATCCCTTATTGCCCGGGGGCCCCATGAGTTGTCAGTCCGCCCCTGCTGATCATGATGTTATCTCTCACACAGAGACAGACTGACCATTCAGGCACTGCCCGAGGGCCCGGGGTCAGTAGGGGCCCCATGAGATGCCCCTGGTACCTTTCATAGGCTTTTTTGGGTGTTGTTTGAGTGTGGGCGAGGACACCAGGGCCCCATGATCCCTTATTGCCCGGGGGCCCCATGAGTTGTCAGTCCGCCCCTGCTGATCATGATGTTATCTCTCACACAGAGACAGACTGACCATTCAGGCACTGCCCGAGGGCCCGGGGTCAGTAGGGGCCCCATGAGATGCCCCTGGTACCTTTCATAGGCTTTTTTGGGTGTTGTTTGAGTGTGGGCGAGGACACCGGGGCCCCATGATCCCTTATTGCCCGGGGGCCCCATGAGTTGTCAGTCCGCCCCTGCTGATCATGATGTTATCTCTCACACAGAGACAGACTGACCATTCAGGCACTGCCCGAGGGCCCGGGGTCAGTAGGGGCCCCATGAGATGCCCCTGGTACCTTTCATAGGCTTTTTTGGGTGTTGTTTGAGTGTGGGCGAGGACACCGGGGCCCCATGATCCCTTATTGCCCGGGGGCCCCATGAGTTGTCAGTCCGCCCCTGCTCTCACACACCAACAATAAATGACTGGAGGCTGCAGACAGTCCCTGGAGTACAGAGCTGGTCCCTGGAACCCGGAGCGCCGCATCGGATCACCTCGGTGACTCTATTCCAGGAAGACGCAGCATCTATAAATACATCTCGCGGACCCCTAATACCCCGATTATCACTTCATTATCAGAGGGGCACTTTGAAAGAGCCGGGTCCTGTCATCGGGGCGTTGTGATGGATGCCCCTCGCCCAGCTGTTGTCACCCGCCACCTCCCCCCTCCCCCACAGATGATGGAGATGTCATTATAGCGGACAGTACCGGCAAGGGACGTATTTCCTGTATATAAAATAGGAATAAAATATGAACAGATACAAACTTTGTAAAGATAAACTGGTAACAATGTCCACACATCGCGAGCAACATCACATGTCTCCAAATACAATGTACAGCAACTGGGGTAATGGGAACATAATGGGGACCGCGAGCCACAGTATATAGGACACCATGGAGAGAGAGAGAGAGAGAAGGAGAGAGAGAGAGGGAGAGAGAGAAGGAGAGAGAGAGAGAGGGAGAGAGAGAGGGGGGGGGGGAGAGAGAAGGAGGGGGGGAGAGAGGGAGAGAGAGAAGGAGAGAGAGGGGGAGAGAGAGAAGGAGAGAGAGAGAGAGAAGGAGGGGGGAGAGAGGGGGGGAGGGAGAGAGAAGGAGGGGGAGAGAGGGAGAGAGAGAGAAGGAGAGAGAGAGAGAGGGAGAGAGAGAGAGAGAGAGAGAGAGAGAGAGGAGAGAGAGAAGGAGAGAGAGAGAGAGGGAGAGAGAGAGAGAAGGAGGGGGAGAGAGGGGGGGGAGGGAGAGAGAAGGGAGGGGGAGAGAGGGGGGAGAGAAGGAGAGAGAGAGGGAGAGAGAGAAGGGGAGGAGAGAGAGAGAGGGAGAGAGAGAGAAGGAGAGAGAGAGAGGGAGAGAGAGAAGGAGAGAGAGAGAGGGAGAGAGAGAAGAGAGAGAGAGAGGGAGAGAGAGAGAGAGAGAAGGAGGGGGAGAGGGGGGGAGGGAGAGAGAAGGGAGGGGGAGAGAGGGGGGGAGAAGGAGAGAGCGCACCATATACATATATACACAACACTTTATACATATACATACACTATATTGCCAAAAGTATTGTCCCTGCCCCCTCCCAATCATGTGATTCGGGTGTTCCAATCCCCTCCCAATCATGTGATTCCGCTGTTCCAATCCCCCCCTCCCAGTCATGTGATTCAGGTGTTCCAATCCCCTCCATATCATGTGATTCAGGTGTTCCAATCCCCTCCCAATCATGTGATTCAGGTGTTCCAATCCCCTCCCAGTCATGTGATTCAGGTGTTCCAATCCCCTCCATATCAAGTGATTCAGGTGTTCCAATCCCCTCCATATCAAGTGATTCAGGTGTTCCAATCCCCTCCATATCATGTGATTCAGGTGTTCCAATCCCCTCCAAATCATGTGATTCAGGTGTTCCAATCCCCTCCATATCATGTGATTCAGGTGTTCCAATCCCCTCCCAATCATGTGATTCAGGTGTTCCAATCCCCTCCCCAATCATGCGATTCAGGTGTTCCAATCCCCTCCCAGTCATGTGATTCAGGTGTTCCAATCCCCTCCCAATCATGTGATTCAGGTGTTCCAATCCCCTCCATATCAAGTGATTCAGGTGTTCCAATCCCCTCCATATCATGTGATTAAGGTGTTCCAACTCTCCCAATCATGTGATTCAGGTGTTCCAATCCCCTCCCAATCATGTGATTCAGGTGTTCCAATCCCCTCCATATCATGTGATTCAGGTGTTCCAATCCCCTCCATGGACACAGGTGTATACAATCCATTCCCTAGGCATGCAGACGGCTTCTACAAACATTGGTGAAAGAATGGGTCGCTCTCAGGAGCTCAGTGACTCCAAGCGTGGTCCCGTGATAGGTGGCCACCTGGGCAATAAGTCCATCCGTGACATTTCCTGGCTACTAAATATTCCACGCTCAACTGTTAGTGGGATTATAACAAAGTGGAAGCCACTGGGAACAACAGCCACTCAGCCACCAAGTGGTAGGCCACGTCACATGACAGGGCGGGGTCAGCGCATGCTGAAGCGCACAGTGCGCAGAAGTCGCCAACTGTCTGCAGAGTCAATAGCTAAAGACCTCCAAACTTGGTGTGGCCTTCAGATGAGCCCAACAACAGTGCGTAGAGAGCTTCATGGAATGGGTTTCCATGGCCAAGCAGCTGCATCCAAGCCTTCCATCACCAAGTGCAATGCAAAGCGTCGGATGCCATGGTGTAAAGCACGCCGCCACTGGACTCTAGAGCAGAGGAGACGTGTTCTCTGGAGTGACCAATCACACTTCTCTGTCTGGCAATCCGATGGACGTGTCTGGGTTTGGCGGTGGCCAGGAGAACGGTACTTGCCTGACTGCATTGTGCCAAGTGTAAAGTTTGGTGGAGGGGGGATTATGGTGGGGGGGGGGTTGTTTTTCAGGGGTTGGGCTTGGCCCCCTAGTTCCAGTGAAGGGAACTCTTAAGGCGACATTTTGGACAATTTCATGCCCCCAACTTTGTGGGAAGAGTTTGGGGATGGCCCCTTCCTGTTCCAACATGACTGCCCACCAGTGCACAAAGCAAGGTCCATAAAGACATGGAGGAGCCAGTTTTGGGGTGGAGGAACTTGACTGGCCTGCACAGAGTCCTGACCTCAACCCCATAGAACACCTTTGGGATGAATTAGAGAGACTGCAGGCCTCCTCCCCCGACATCAGTGCCTGGCCTGACAAATGTGCTTCTGGAAGAATGGTCCAACCTTCCCATAGACACCCTCCTAAACCTTGTGGACGACCTTCCCAGAAGAGTTGAAGCTGTTATAGCTGCAAAGGGCGGGGCCAACTCAATATTGAACCCTACGGACTGAGACTGGGGGGCCATTAAAGGTCATGTGTGTGGAAAGGGCGGGACAACTCAATATTGAACCATATGGACTAAGACTGGGGGGCCATTAAAGGTCCTGTGTGTGGAAAAGGCGGGGCCAGCTCAATATTGAGAACCCTACGGACTAAGACTGGGGGGCCATTAAAGGTCATGTGGGTGGAAAGGGCGGGGCCAACTCCATATTTGAACCCTACAGACAAAGACTGGGGGGCCATTAAAGGTCATGTGTGTGGAAAGGGCGGGGCCAACTCAATATTGAACCCTACGGACTAAGACTGGGGGGCCATTAAAGGTCATGTGTTGTGGAAAGGGCGGGGCCAACTCAATATTGAACCCTACAGACTAAGACTGGGGGGAGCCATTAAAGGTCATGTGTGTGGAAAGGCATATACATATATATAGATATAGAGCAACATATACAGGCAGCACAGCGGCTAAATGGTTAGCACTTCCACCTGGCAGTACTCGGGTCATTGGTTCAAATCCCAACCGCGGCACCACCTGCCTGGAGTTTGCATGTTCTCCCTGTGCCTGTGTGGATTTCCTCCAGTTTCCTACCACACTCCAAAGACATGCTGGTAGATGAATTGGCTCCTGTCTAAATTGGCCCTAGTATGTGTATGTATGAATGTAAGTTAGGGACCTTAGATTGTACGCTCCTCAGGGGCGGGGACTGATGTCAATGTACAATATATATGTAATGCATAAATGTACAGCACTATATATGTAGATAGCTAAAAATATCAATAGTGTCAGCAGAAACCTCTCTGAGAGGTGGATATTGCTCAAGGAACCCCTAGCAACCTCTGGAGGAACCCTGCTTGAGACCCCCTGGTCTATATATTAGTACATAAACCGGTCCTCCTGTCATTACAAGGACTGATTGGCGGCTCTGACCAATGTATTAGCGTCCCAGCTGTACAATGCTGCCACCTTGTGGTAGCCCCGGGGTTGGCGGATTAGCTTCCCCAGCATGTTACCATCTCAGGTTTTTCTTTTTGTTAATGTTGTTTTTTTATGCCGGGTACCGGCTCCCATTTCCTAAATTCTCACTGAAGTGAGGGTGAAGTCACCTTGTTTGCTTAAAACGTATGTTACATCGGTTACTCTATAGCCAGATCCTGGGCCATGGGGCCATGTGAATAGCCAGATCCTGGGCCATGGAGCCATGTGAATAGCCCGATCCTGGCCCATGCAGCCATGTGAATAGCCAGATCCTGGGCCATGGGGCCATGTGAATAGCCAGATCCTGGGCCATGGGGCCATGTGAATAGCCAGATCCTGGGCCATGGGGCCATGTGAATAGCCAAATCCTGGGCCATGGGGCCATGTGAATAGCCAGATCCTGGGCCATGGGGCCATGTGAATAGCCAGATCCTGGGCCATGGGGCCATGTGAATAGCCCGATCCTGGCCCATGCAGCCATGTGAATAGCCAGATCCTGGGCCATGGGGCCATGTGAATAGCCGATCCTGGCCCATGCAGCCATGTGAATAGCCAGATCCTGGCCCATGGGGCCATGTGAATGGGCCCTCGCACTGCCCTGATATTCCAAACACCCAACACCTGTCCATCATTTATTGGTGGGGGGCCATATACAACTCTATGTAGCATTGGTCATTTTTTCTTTTAATCTAACACTACCAGAAAACTTCCCCAAAAGACCCCATCCCCTGGTTCCTAGATGAGGCAGAACCTCAGGCTACATAGTGGTTGGTAAGACCAGCCACACATGTTACAATCTGATTGTACAACCATTGGGAATGTAGATTTATATCCACAGTGGATGTTGGTTGGAGTAATCATAGCTTGGGGTCCCCTAAGCATAAGGCACCTCCCCTCACAAACACCTCTAAGGGGAGACCAATATCATGCTAAACCATGTGGTGAGACTGTATGTTGATTCTGATGCCTTTAGGGTTCCCCCCCTTGGCCCCTGGGGTATGGTTGGAGGCAGGGGTGGACTGACCATTTGGAAACTCGGGCACTGCCCGAGGGCCCGGGGTCAGTAGGGGGCCCCATGAGATGTCCCTGGTACCTTTTTCATAGGCTTTTTTGAGTTTGGGCAAGGACACAGGGGCCCCATGATCCCCTATTGCCCGGGGGCCCCATGAGTTGTCAGTCCGCCCCTGGTTGGAGGTCAAAGATGGAGGCATGGATCCAGGGCATCTGTTGAGTTACTGGGAATTAGATGCTGGGATGTTAGGGGGAAGTCTTGTTTTTTCCATACTCTGGAGAACCAAGAGATCACCCTCAGGGCCCGTGTTATTGGATTAGACCAACAGCTGCTGAAGAAGGGAAAAGAAAAACATGGACCATACCAATATAGTTCAGAGAGTTACACAACAATCTGGCTGTATTGAGGTCAAGAGATATGCTGGTGATCGGTTGTTGCCAGTAGGAGCCTGCTCAGCAGTTACCTTCAGATCCTCAGGTGTCTTCCAGTCCTTCATGGCCATACATTGAGCCTTTCAGTGCCATGTCCTTGGAAGCCAGGTCCATAGTGTACATGGTGCCTCAAGTCAAAATCGAGCCCCACCCTCACCAAATGTTACACGAAAAAAAGCTTCAGTTGGCAATAGACCTTCTGGCATTTCACTCTTGAAGAAGAAGATGTCATTTCCCAGCTTTCAACATGGAGGGCCAAGGTGTCACTCTTGAACCAAGGTCCACAGCTTTGAGCTGGAGTCAATGACTCAGCTTGAGACAGTTCGGAGATCATTTAGAATTAATTTTCAGGTGTATGTGACCTGCGATCAATCTACCTCTCACCTGCAACTGATCTGCTTCGATGGGTTTTGCATTCTTATAGACTTGACACTAACATAGGTCCTTATTTTGGTTCATCACTTTGGACCTGTTTGGCCTGGCAGGCAATAAATGGACAATTGTGACAATACACGGGCAACAAATGGACAATTGTGACAAACACAACAAATGGGGGCAACAAATGGACAATTGGCAATTGTGACAATACACGGGCAACAAATGGACAATGGACAATTGTGACAATTGTGAGAATACAGGCAACAAATGGACAATTGGGCAACAAATGGGCAAATGGACAATTGTGACAATACACAATACACGGGCAACAAATGGACAATTGTGGCACGGGCAACAAATGGACAAATTGTGGACAATTGTACAATACACGGGCAACAAATGGACAATTGTGAGAATACAAGGGCAACAAATGGACAATTGTGACAATACACACGGGCAACAAATGGGCAATTGTGAGAATACACGGGCAACAAATGGACAATTGTGACAATACACGGGGCAATTGTGACAATAACAAATGGGCAATTGTGACAATACAAATGGACAACGGGCAACAAATGGACAATTGTGACAATACATGGCTAACAAATGGGCAATTGTGACAATACACACGGGCAACAAATGGACAATTGTGACAATACATGGCTAACAAATGGGCAATTGTGACAATACACGGGCAACAAATGGGCAATTGTGAGAATACACGGGCAACAAATGGACAATTGTGAGAATAATACACAATGGCTAACAAATGGGCAATTGTGAGAATACAAGGGCACGGGCAAAATGGACAATTG